AAATAAAAACAGAAAGTCAGCGTTGTAATTGACGAGGAAGGCTGTTCCTCTTCCCATTCAGAAACTCTTTGTTTCCTACGCCACACAGCCAGCCAAGAGCAACAGCCCCTTTCCTAATTATTTCTCCATGGAGCTCTATTTAATCCATCGATCTCTTAATAATCCACCATTATATTTTTCTATGTTATTCCCATCTCCCTTCAATCCATTATCCATATCCTTTATTTTCAGTTTCTATCATCTTTCTCATATCAGATTCATATTATAACCCTAAGTTTCAATCTCACCCAACAAGCTCACAAATTGTCTTTGAGATTGATGGTGACCAAGAGGGAAGGAGCATGAGAAACTGAAAAGGTAATCAGATTTATAATTTTTTCTTTATATTTGTTCCTACCCAGCAAACTATTGTTTCAATTCAATTTCCAATAGGAACAAAACACAGAGAGATACAGAGTGGTAATCAGATTATTGTTCAGATTTTATTCTTGTCTAACTTGTTTTTTGTCTCTACGAAACTCCGCAAAGGATAATTATAGATTCATACTACTCTAATTTGACTTTTCTAGATATCAAGCCGCTAACTTACAGCATACAGCTAGCTCACTTAATTTGGATTTGTTTCTAAAGCAAAACATCCTCTGCCTGGTGGAGATAATCTCCCAAGTCTCCTTATATAAGTCGCTATAAAACTGCACAATGACATCTACTAAACTTTTCTTAACAAAAGCTTGCATATATCTTATCATTGCAGATGTACATGAATCAGGTGGAGGTATGGAGTGGAGTTTCTCAAAGTGCTAGAAGATCAAGGATTTTTCAGTGTTTGATTGTACTTTTAATGTTACAGTTTTTACTTTTTTGATTGTAAATGGTGCAGAGGAAATCAAGCAGCTATTTGATAAAGGGAAAGCTTCAGATATTTGCACATTGTAATGGGATGGATCTCTTATTGGCTGCCTGTTTGGGAGGAAGAAGGCTACAGGAAGATTTTGTACCCATCCAAATTTGCTGCAACCATTTCATATGTTGTTTTTAAAGCTGATTTTGCTAAACTCATGTGATGAAGCTTGAAGCCAGAAGCTAATCTTAAGGGAAAGGGTTTAGTATTTTGTACAAACACTTAGTTTTAATGTATCTTGACATGTTCCCATTATTGGTTGTTGGAATGTTGGTTTGTAAATTTTTAATTTCCTTCATGATATTAAATACGTAATCAGAATTTTTTTGTTTTATATGGAGATATGGCTACACTCTACATAAAATCATTTTATTTGTTGTTTTTTTTGCAATTTTATATATACTAAGGGAAGGGGCCTCATTTAGTTTATTGCCTAGGGCCACCGAAAAGTCAAGGCTGGCCCTGCCCAAGGTGAACCTTGGCAATGGGGTCCTAGAGTTCTCTGACCCTCTATCCATGCGTTATGTAGTGCTAAATATTTTATTAAAAAAAAAATTTAATTAGGGCCATAAAAATTTGGTGAACAATAAATCATGAACTTAGTCTTGTCACTTCCATTCGATTGTATCTCACAAGCCCTAGGGTTTGATTGTTGTTAATAACATGTAACATTTGCAGAGTAACCAAGCCTAACAAGGTAATGCTCTAAAACTCTCTCTCTCTCTCTCTCTCTCTCTCTCTCTCTCTCTCTCATTTGGTTTAAGGTACAAACAATATGTACATGTAAATTTGGACGGCAATGGCATGTAAAAGAGACTTTTCCATTACACACAATAATTTATCGCAATATGCATCACTGTTATTGTCGACATTGCTGGTTTAGTTTAATTTAATTTCTATACATTTAATAAAAAAAACTAGAGAAAATTAAAAAGAAAGTAGGCAAATTCGCTATCAATTTTTACAGCAGCTTTCATTTTCACGTACAAATAAGTTGTCTGGTTTCTCTTTCCCTCAATATCACTTGTACAAATAAGTTGCCACATATTACACACGCACAACAATTCTAGAAATCCCTCTTAACCATCAAGCAACAAACCTCTCTCCCTCTCCCTCTCCCTCTCCCTCTCCATGCCAACCAAAATGGTAATAGTTTATACGCTTTGGCACTTTTTTTTTTTTTTTCTGAAGTAAACTAGAGATTTTATTCTTCGAAGAAAAAGAGAAATACCACTTAACCTAATATTGATCACTTGAATTTCAGGGAACATGCTGCAAAGAGAAAGGGGTGTTGGTGAGCGTGTATGTGGAGAAACCGAAGAGGAGGACGTTCTCAAATCACCATCACCATCACCACCATCACAATAACCATCATCATATTCATCACACCATCAGGAGAGAGGTTGTTCATTACAGGCGTGGTGCTGATGGAAGAGGGTACATTAGTAGGAGAGCTGAGCTCCTTCAGTACTCTCAACACCTTCGGCTATCTGCTAGATCAGCACCAGCTGCTTCCACAGCCTTAAATCCAAGGCCTAACAATACCAATAGTCAACAATCTCATGCCCAGGTACTTTTTTACTGTAGACAAGTTTCTTGGATGTAATTTAGGGTTTAGAAACAGAGAAAATTGTCTTCATAATCTCATCTATAGTTGAATGATTAATCAGAAGTTTAGGATTCGTCTGATAACATCTTTCGTTTTTGGTTTCTGTTTTTTTTTTCTTCTTAAATTATAAGTGAGGAGAGAAAAAAAAAAGTAGCATAATCTTGTATTGGTGTTTGAGTTGTTGGATTAACAAACATCATTCTTTTCTATTTAAATATTGGCAAAAACACATTAATAAAGAGTAAAAGTCAACAGGTTTGCAAAAGCAAGTGAGCCCACTTAATAAAAAAAACTAGAGAAAATGAAAAAGAAAGTAGGCAAATTTCCTATCAATTTTACAGCAGCTTTCATTTTCACGTACAAATAGGTTGTTTGGTTTCTCTTTCCCTTAATATTACTTGTATATATAAAAAATAAGAAAAAAGTTGTTCGGTGTAGGAAAAATTAAAAAAGTTCTTCGTCGAGCATAATTAAAAAACTTTTAGTTTTTATTTCCAAGAATCCTTCTCGATATTATCTTTCCTCTAATTTATATCTCTCTATCTCCCTTTTCCTTTTAACCTCCTTTAATTTTTTATTATTATATAAAAAAAGCATTATCTATATATATAAAGCAAAAGGCAGAGAATGGTGAAACATTCAAAATATCAAAAAATACCCTTGGTTAATGCAAACATTAAAAATTGAAATTATTAATTAAATGAGGATAATATGGTAAATTCACACTTTTTCATATTAAAAAATTTAAAATTAAAAGAAAAATCAGATAATGGATCCTATTTTTATGAAACACAACTACCCATTATCTTTTTTAATTCTAAAATAAATTTAAAATTTTCTAAAAAAAAGCCTCTAGCAGGCGCAGAAGCGCGTGCGGAGAGGCTAGTAAAAGATAAAACAAAAGCAAAAATAGGGTTACCAAACATGCACTTAGCTTATTGGAAGAACTTGGGCTTAGATGTGAATTAGAGAGAGGCCATGATCAGCAATGACTATTAAAAAGTTTATTAAGGAATTACTTTATGTCATAGTCTTTACAGATTGAATGATAAAGTAGTTGTAGTTAGATTGTTGCTGTCAGAAGAAAGCCGAATAAGATTTCAAAAGCTCCAATCTGCTTTGGCAACTGGAAAATCCCAGACATGTTTGGATTTTTTCCAAGTTCACAAGCTAAGAAAGACAGGAAGACAAGAAAGAAGCATACTGGCTCTACTACCAGCAACAAAATAAAAGCTGTTATCAAAAGCTTAAAGGTAATTGAAGACTTTAATTATATTTATTTGCTAATTAGTTTGAAAATTCAGTCTAAACTCAAATCCTCCTTTCAGGTGCAAAAGCAACGAGGAGTTTTTTCCAAGATGTTCTCGTCTACAAAGCGAAAGTGAAACTTCAAGTTAACAACCCATGTAATTTTTTTTTTTTTTTACAAAGACCATTTGTTCTTGTAAACAAGCCAGTGAATCGGCTTTTTGGCTCATCGCTCTTTCCTTAACAAGAATAGCTTTTGGGAAATTACAAAGAGAAGCTGCGACGGAATCCCAAGTTCCGAATATCGTACAACAATTTAGAGATAAGAACTCACAATAAACTAAG